CATTTGCACTCAATATCCATTTATTCAGTCCATATCCTATTTTCACTTGTTTCAATTTTAATTTTCCATCCATGTTCAAAATATCCCAATCATTTATAATTTCAGAACAAGTTATATTTGGGTAACCAAAAGCTTCCCTTATTCAAACATCTTAGCATATTCTTATTTCCACTTCCCAAATTTTCTTGACAAACCAAGGGAATAGCATGAAGAGAAAAAACAATAGCAATCTCATCAAAAGCTTGGTTAGCTTATCAGTAGGTTACACAGTATTTAAATGAATTGCCTTCAAGATTCATAGGAAGCACCCCAAGTGCATCCAAATCAATAAGACCATTATAATTGGTCTCATCTGAATCAGGAAATGATTCAGACACTAGAGTTGTGACTGATGTGACATACGCACATCACTGCATAACTGCTTTGTCAAAGGGTGTATTTAAGAATTTTATTTTTTAAAAAAATATGTATTTGGAAAAGTTTCATAGAAAACAATGCATTAGGTAGCTGCATAGAAAATATGCCATATTACACCAATCAGAAAAGCTGTGCTTAAAAATGGGTATGTTATGACAGAATTTATATAAAATTTATATAAAAAAGCAACTATGGAATTTCTGGATTTGTTTCAAAATCATCCTGTCAGAAATAAGGATAGAATAGTGAGTTGGAGGAATATGAAATCATTTTCTACCAATCTATATATACTGAACTGCAGCAAGGAGCTTAGAGTTTTTTCACTCCTGTTTCCCAAAGGCATTACCCAGAAGACATTTCCAATATCACAAAAGAAGAGAGCAAAGAATCTAATCCAGTGGTGGCGAACCAGTGGCACGGGTGCCAGAGGTGGCACTCAGAGCCCTCTCTGTGGGCATGTACACTGTCGCCCCAGTCCTAGGTCTTCAGCTGGGTTTTATAAAACCATTTTGCTTTAGGCCTCCGCCACCATGTGCAAAAAAAAAAAAAAGGTTCAATCAGTCAATTTCAACTTCTCGCGGGAAAAAAAAGATCTTGCAAAGTTGGAATTAATTGATTGAACTTTTTAGTCCCACCCAGTCTGCTGTTACCACCGCAGCCACGCCCACCCAATTGGCCACACCCAGCCAATGGGTTACACCCACCCAGCACTCAACGATGCATAAGTGGGTTTTGGGTTGCAGTTTGGGCACTCAGTCTCTAAAAGATTCACCATCACTGATCTAATCTGTCCTCTCCATAATCATTGAGTGACTATAATCAACCCCTAAGAAAGGACAACCAGCACAACACCGTGTTGCCCAGTCTCAATCCTCTGAGTCAATTTAGAAGGCTACTATGTTGATGGTATCAAAAGCTACCAAAAGATCAAGGAGGGTGAGGTTGGATGCACAACCCCTATCCTGCCTATCCCAGAGATCATCCAATATCATTTCCACTCTCATATCTGTCCTGAACCTTGACTGAAAAGGATCAAGATAATCCCTTATAAGACTTTTAATAGTTTATGATTAAAACCTTCAATTTTTTGGGAGCATGTAGCAGGAAAGCAATTAAAATAAAGAAGTGATCTCAAAAGATTTTTCCAACTCACTCTTTTAAGTACAGATTACTATTTTATCTTAACAACTGATAAACATTTGATTCAGGACCAGAATTATCAAACTAATTTATTTTGTGATTGTTGATCTCCCCATCCCCACATTGCACCAATTCTCAACATCATTAGGTCTGCAGTAAGAATGCATCTTTTTCATCAAAGCCATCAACACTAAATTTCACGAAAGTCTCTTATATTCAGTTGTATATCAGAAGCATCTCTGCTGTAAGACATGCTTTAAGAGCAACCCGACATCCTTTTCAAGGGCACAGTTCCTCATGTCTGGCATATTACTTGGATACTATCATGCTACATTCAAGATTTCAGCAGGGGAAGGGCACAATATTGGATTATACTCAGGCCTGGAAAGATTAACACTGCTCAGGCCCCTTGCAAACCAGACTGGTAAATCTGAACTTCAGCAGCAATACTAATTCTTGTAAAATGAACTAATGCTTTTAATTGACAACGGTTTAATTGTCTGTTGCCTCAAATAAGCCAAAGTTAATGTATTTTTATGGTTTATTTTAAGTATATCTTGCTGTTGCCCTTATCAATGGTACCCAAAAATGTTAATATTTAAAGTTACTGGTATTGGTTTTTCCACATGCCATGTTTTTGGTTGACTTTAGGTGGATTATATTCAACCAGAGTTACTCATAATATTTATTAAAACAAGTGCTGTGAGCTTAATTGGCCTGCTATGGCAGATCAATTACAACCCTTTTAGTTTATTTCAAAAGTGTCCCAAATAAATAATCAATGTATTTATACTTACACATATATGAATATACTGAGACAAGTGAGAATATTTTGTCTAAATTGGCAAATACTATGCTGTGTTAAACACTAACTGCTTTGTTCTCAGATAATCATGAATTGATTAACAAGTTTAGGCAAAAAGAAATACCCAGTTGTTAGGAAAAATATTACCCAATTTTTGTGTGGTAATTTTCCTTTCTGTTTTGTTTTATACCTCTAGGAGATTTTTTCTTGCATCTGCATATAATATTTAGTTGTCCCTAAAAAGTCATTCTGTCTTCATGCTACATTATTGTGAATATATAACAGGAATAAATTAAAGAAAAAGGAAGCATATAGTGGTGTTGTTTTCCCTATTACTGTTTCACACCTTCTGTTTATATTCCTTTGATATGTTTTCCAACATCTTATGGTGTAAATCCTTTTTCTGCCTGAATACTTTATGTGTTTATATCATGTTCCCGTCAGATGAAGCTAGCGGGAAGAGGATGGTGGTCTTTACCTTATGTGTAAATGATTACTCTCTCTTCTGTGAGTCATGCCACAGAGCTTCAGACATAATAAGGTTGTAAGTCAATTGGGAGCTGCAGGAGCCAATGACAATTCATTTGCACTTTCAGGACCCACTTTTTACTGTGCACCGCTCCCTGCACTATAGAGAGCCATAAATACATCCAAATGGTGGTGGTGAAGAGTTGTTGTGGTAATGGTTTTTACAGAAAATCCAGCAGGAGTAAAATATAGAACTTAAAAACACAAGAAAAATATGGCAACTTGCAAATTTGACAAAATTCTAACTATTGATTGACTGGCTGTACAAATTGAACATGTTAGTAACTAATTGGGTTCCTTGCTTAGGTAATATGTTTAACCTAGTTTTAAAGGGAGCATTGGAGTCACTAATGTAGAATGTCAGAGGATAACTGTACCATGACCAACAGGGTCAGTAATTAAATGACACAAAGGTTAATTGCAGGGATAGACAAGGGAACTGAGGTGGCAGATAAAAAGAAGTAGGCTGAATAACATTGCATTAATTCTGCAAAGGGAGAAGATGGGAAATTATTTGAAAATCTGTTACATATTCAAGTTCATCCTTGACAATTTTAGATGAGTTTAGTCTTTGTGCCTGTTAAAGTTTGTAGCTGGAACCAGAAAACAATTGCAAACCTGTATATGCAAGAAGATGCTGCTGTTCTACTTTATGCTTAATCCCACTTTACCGCCAGTCGTTCAAGACAGTATAAATTATGCCTCTTGCAACAACAACTCTGTGAGGTGGGTTCTGCTGATAGAGTGTAATCAGTCCAACATCACCCTATGAGCTTTTATGAATGAAAGTGGACTTGATCCAGGATATCCCCAAACTTCGTCCAACATAACCACTACATCAGTGTCACCCCTATGTCTTTTATTTTCTGTATACCTAACTCATGTATTTTTTTCTAAAAAAAAAAATAACATTCAGTCGACATTTACAATTTAATGCTTTTGAGTAAAAAATCCAGAGTTTCATTTCTTGATCAGTTCAGTATATTACAGATGTTAAAATCACTGCAGAACTCTGTTGGAATAAAGGAGGAACATACTGGGAATGCAAAAGCTTGAGTGGTAATGTTTACTTGAGACCAGGTACCATCAGAAAGTTTGTGATATTTAGCTGCTCATCCTATTCTGTTCTGAACCAGGTGATGCAACTGAAGTGCTGTTTGAGTCTGGATAGAGGAGAACTGGCTTAACCCTGGCTCAGCCAAGTGTCTGTGGGGACATGGTTCATTTAAAAATCCCCATAAACTATAGCTGGTTCAAAATGCAGTAGCACAGTTTGGGGTGCATAGTCATGTAACACTTCTTTTGTATGTAGTGAGCTTCTGAGAGTAATTCAAGGTGCTGGCTTCATCTTTAAATCCCTTTGTGGCATAGAGCCTGTCTCTCTCTAAGGAACTATCTCTCTCCCAACAATTTATTCCTGCAAGATCTGGCAAAGTAGGCATCCATCAGTTCCCACCCATATGATGAGACCTGGGATTCATGTTTCCTTGTCATAACATCTTCTTTTTGAATAAGCATTCCTCTGGAACTCAGACTGCCCTGACCCTGAAAACATTTAGATCATCTTTAAAAATCTATTTTTTCCCTTCAAGCTCTTAACTAAATTGGTCTGCCATTTGTGTGGGCTATGGTTGCTCTTCCTCCTGTTGCATTCATGTTTCTTGGCTCTGATTTTACATATTGTATTGGTTTTTAATTGTATGTTGCCCAGAGTCCACGTTGAGATGGTTGGATAGTTGGATAGAGAAAGATGAGAGAGAGAGAGAGAGAGAGAGAGAGAGAGAGAGAGACAGAGGGAGGGAGGGAGGGAGGGAGGGAGACGGAGACAGACAGAAACAGAGAGAATAGATTACACAAATGGACACTAACATAGATCCTGAAGTGGGTAAAAGTCTGTACTTTTTGAGTTCTCAGTGTTACTCATATTAAAGGCACAGTCTGTGACATTTTGATTGGCTTGTAGCTATATTTTTCCAGTGTGTTCTATGCATACTGAATCATTATGACTTCTAAAACTGCCATAGAAAGGATGTCATTAATTCCTATACCAAAATGTACAACATTCCTACGAATATTTTACTATATTGTTGCTTCCTTTTTCTTTGTTCAGGTTTGTTTCCAGCAGTGCTGAACGTGGCTTCTAATTCTCTCATCACCACAAATGCTACCTGTGGTAAAAGAGGTCCAGAGATGTACTGTAAGCTGGTGGAACATGTCCCTGGCCAGCCAGCAAGAAACCCTCAATGCCGCATCTGTGACCAGCGTAGCAGGAATCCAAACTGTAAGTGTATAGTATCTATTTCATGTTCTTAACCTCCTTCTTTGTGTGGATGCACAATGAAACCATCACAGCTTTTTCACAGCTGAAATTATTATACTGGATCAAGAGCCCATCTGGTGCAATGCTTAGAATGCAGTATTGCAGGCTAATTAATAATAATAATAATAAAGTTGGAAGGGACCTTGGAGGTCAAGTAGTCCAACCCCCTGCTCAGGCAGGAAACCCTACACCATTTCAGACAATTGGCTGTCCAGTCTCTTCTTTAAAACAACTGCCAGCAGTTCAGTTCTCACTGGCTCTAGGCTGGCTCAGTCTTCCATTTTTCTGAGGACCAAATTGTTGGGGGCAATATGCTGACTCTCTTATTCATGAATGGAATATGCCCATGGTAGAATATCATCTGCACATTGGATACCTTCTGATGGTAGAATATCATCTGCACATTGGATATCTTGAACACTGGGCACTATCTAACAAAATGAAATTCAATGGTGAAAAAAGTAAGGTTCTACATTTAGGCAAGAAAAATCAAATGTACAGGTATAGTATAGGGGGTACCTTGCTCAATAGCAGTAACTGTGAGAGGGATCTTGGCGTCCTAGTGGACCATCATTTAAGTATGAGCCAGCAGTGTGCTGCAGCTGCCAAAAAAGCCAATACAGTGCTAGGCTGCATTAACAGAGGGATAGAATCAAGATCACGTGAAGTATTAATACCACTCTTCAATGCCTTGGTAAGGCCACACTTGGAATACTGCATCCAGTTTTGGTCACCACGATGTAAAAAAGATGTTGAGACTCTAGAAAGAGTACAGAGAAGAGCAACAAAGATGATTAGGGGACTGGAGGCTAAAACATATAAGGAACGGTTGCTAGAATTGGGTATGTCTAGTTTAACGAAGAGAAGGACAAGGGGGGACATGATAGCAGTATTCCAATATCTCAAGGGCTGCCATAAAGAAGAGGGAATTAAGCTATTTTCCAAAGCACCTGAAGGCAGGACAAGAAGCAACGGGTGGAAACTAATCAAGGAGAGAAGCAATCTAGAACTAAGGAGAAACTTCCTGATAGTTAGAACAATTAATCAGTGGAACAACCTGCCTCCAGAAGCGGTGAATGCTCCAACACTGGAAGTTTTTAAGAAGAGACTGGACAGCCACTTATCCAAAATGGTATAGGGTTACCTGCCTGGGCAGGGGGTTGGACCTGATGACCTCCAAGGTCCCTTCCAACTTTTTATTAATTAACTTTTATTATTATTATTATTATTATTATTATTATTATTATTATTATTATTATTATTATTATCGATCATCGCACAGTCAGCCAGATGTTCAGACTGGATTTGGCATTTTGTCTACCTATCGAGTCCTTACCCAGGACCTGGGATAGGCAGATGTGGATGTTTGATGGTATTACAGATATCGTCGCAGGATGGAAGCAGTTCCTAATAAGGCCGCCTTTTGCAATTGACTAATAGCGAATTTGTCAATGCCAATGGTGTTCAAGTGGTGCTCCAGTTGTTTTGGGATTGCACCCAAGGAGCCTATTACTATTGGTACTACCCTTGCTTGCTTTTGCCACAGTCTTTCTATTTCTATTTGTAGGTCTTTGTATTTTGTTATCTTCTCCAGTTCTTTCTCGTCTATTCTGCTGTCTCCAGGCACTGCCACGTCCACTATCCAGACTTTTTTGTCTTTCTTATCGACAATTGTTAAGTCTGGGGTGTTATGTTGCAGGTGCTTGTCTGTTTGAATTCTGAAGTCCCAGAGCAGTTTAATTTTATCATTTTCTATGACTTTCTCTATTTTTTTTTTTTTATTAAAAGTTTTATAAATTTTACAAGAAAAACAAGAACAATACAGAACAAAAAACAACATATACAAAAGAAAAAAAAATTAAACAATACATATAAAAAAAAAAAAAAAACCCCACCCCACACCCCTCCCAAAAACCCTCCCTTCCCCCCCCCTGAGCTTCCCAGAGCAGAATATAGGCTTAAGAAATAAAAAAAAAATAAAAATTAAATTAAAAACTTTATATTTATATATATAAAAAAGATATCTATAATATATATAAAAATAAAACTTATGAAAAAGCTATATGATATTTTTGTATACCCAATCTAAATTGTATAAATTTTATCCATTTGTCCCAGATAGCAAAAAACTTCTCTTGCGTTTGTTGCTTTAAGAAAGCCGAAATCTTTGCCATTTCCGCCAGATAAGCTACTTTAAAAAACCATTCCTGCAATGTAGGCAAAGATTCCTTCTTCCAATATTGTCCAACTAACAGCCTTGCGGCTGTGATCAAATTTAACATCAATACAACCTCCTTTGTATCACAATCTGTAACAATACCTAACAAAAATAATTGCGGAGTAAATTTTACCCTCCTTCTAAAAATTCTCTGGATATTCCACCATATTTTGATCCAAAATGCTTTTATCTCTCTACATGACCACCAAATATGATAATAGGAAGCCTCCTTATAACCACATCTCCAACATTTAGGTTGCACGTCAGGGTACATGTAAGACATTTTTTGTGGATCAAGGTGCCATCTATAAAACATTTTATAAAAATTCTCCCTTAAATTCTGTGCTTGAGTAAATTTGACATTTCTCACCCAAATAGTTTCCCAGGTGTCTAATGAAACTGGCTCACCAAAGTTCTGCGCCCATCTAATCATACAATCTTTAATTAGTTCCGTTTCTGAGTCCAATTCAACTAAAACCCCATAAATTCTCTTAATGTGGGTTTGTCTTTGATCCTTCAGTTGCTTAATAAGATTTTCATCTTCTCTAAGAAAACCCACCTTACAATCCATCTTCCATCTATCTAGTAGTTGCCTATATTGGAACCAAGAATAAGTAAAATTTTCTTGTGCTAATTCTTCCCGTGATTTTAATTGCCAGTTTTGTCCATCCCATTTAAGTAACTGTCTGTAAGACACCATATCCATTTTAACCCCTCTTTTTATTCCTTCTATCGCATGCCAAGGTATAGCCCATAATGGTACTTTAAAATCACTTTTATAATATTTTCTCCAGATCCTAAGTAAAGAAATTCTTAAAATATGAGATTTAAAAGCCCAATCTATTTTTTTATTAAATATTAAATAGGCATGCCACCCATAAAGTAAATCCCATCCCTCTAGATAAAGTATCTCAGAGTTTGTCAAATTTACCCAGTCACTAATTAATGTTAAAACCACCGCATCATAATATAATTTCAAATTTGGTACCTTGAGTCCACCCCTCTCACGGAAGTCTTGCATAATTTTGAACTTAACCCTTGGTTTTTTCCCTGCCCAAATAAATTTATTGAGACCCTTCTGCCACTCATTTAAATTAATCTCATTTTTCAAAATTGGTAACATTTGAAACAAAAAAAGAAACTTGGGTAGAATATTCATTTTTATCACTGCAATTCTTCCCATGAGGGATAATTGCAGCTTTTCCCAGTTTTTCAAGTCTTTCTGTACCCTGACCCACAACCTTGCATAATTATTTTTAAATAATTTTGCATTAGAAACAGACAGCATCACCCCCAAATATTTTACCTTATTAACAATCTCAAAACCCGTCGAGTTAACCAAAATCTGCTTCTCCTGACTCGACATATTTTTAGGTAAAATTTTAGTCTTATTTACATTAATCTTAAAACCCGAGACCAAACCATAATGGTGAATCAACTGTAATAAGTTTACTACAGAATAATCAGGTTGCGACAAAGTAACAACCAAGTCATCCGCAAAAGCTCTCAACTTATATTCTTTTTTATTAACATATATTCCTTTAATTTCCTGAGACTCTCGAATTTTGATCAATAATATTTCCAATGTTAAAACAAACAACAATGGCGATAAAGGACACCCCTGTCTAGTACCTTTCTCTATTGTGAAAACCTCCGACAAACCTCCATTAACAATAAGTTGTGCTGTTTGTTTTTGATATATTACCTTAAGAGCTTGTAATATGTTTTCACCAAAATTCATTTCTTCCATTACTCTTAGCATAAAATGCCAATTCAGTTGGTCAAATGCTTTTTCAGCATCTAAAAATATGAGCCCTGCAGGAACTTGGTTGTTCTTATCTAAGTATTCTAATAAATTAATAATTTGTCTAACATTGTTTTTCATATACCTTCCTGTTATAAACCCTGATTGATCTTTATGCACAAGATGATGCACCACCCTCATAAGCCTATTTACCAAAATTTTTACAAATATCTTATAATCCACCATTGTTGCTACTTTGTCATGCCGCTGCTTGTAATCAGTTTGTGCAATCTTCTTGCAACAGCTTACCAAGTGGTCCACTGTTTCTTCAGCTTCTTTGCATAGGCGGCACTTACTGTCTGTTGCTGTCTTCTCAATTTTGACTTTGTATGCATTTGTCCTTAAGGCTTGGTCTTGTGCAGCCAGAATTAGTCCCTCGGTCTCTTTCTTCAATTTTCCTGCTCTTAGCCATTGCCAGGTTTTATTATTATCTGCTTTCCCAGCTATTTTTTTCATGTATTGGCCATGTAGTGCTTTGTCTTCCCATGCCTCTATTCTGTTCTTCATTTGGTCTTTCTTGTAGGCCAGTTTGGTCTCTCCAGTAGTTAGTAAGCCTTCCTGATATACTAATTTCAGTGCATCTTCATCATTGTTCTTCAGATATTCTTCCAAAGCCATTTTTTCTTCTTCAACCATCTGATGTACTTGTAGCATTCCACGCCCACCTATTTGCCTTGGTAGATAAAGTCTATCAATGTCACTGCGTGGATGAAGGGCATGATTCATTGTCATTATTTTTCTGGTCTGCCTATCCATTGCTTTTAGTTCTGCTTGAGTCCAGTCCACTATTCCAGCTGTGTACCTAATGACTGGGATTGCCCAGGTGTTGATTGCCTTTATGGTATTTCCTCCATTGAGTTTGGACTTTAAGATCTTCTTCACTCTCTTGATGTATTCACCTCTAATCTTTTTCTTGACTTCAGTGTGCTTGATGTTGTC